CATCGGCCCGTTCGTACATGCAAGTGTTGCTGCACTGCTGGCCGCATTTCAGGATCGGATTTTTGTCCTCGTCCTTCCGATTCGCTCCTCGCCGTTGCCGTCCGCCTGCGTGTCTCTTCCCCACTAATTCCTGGTCCTCCTGATCCTTCTATTTCTCCTGCACCTGGTGCTGATCCTCATCCGTACTCATCATCCTGCTCCTGCTTCTGCGCATCCGCCACCTCCTCTTCAGCCTCGTCCAGTGTACAAAGCCCCCTTCTGATTGTGCATCGCAATATGGGGTCACCATGGGGCTGAAGGTCATTCAAGGCACCCCAGCTTGCATATCGGACACATTCATCGCATTTGGAAGGCGGTGGGAGGGTAGGATGCCAACCATGGATCGAGTGCATTTGCTTACCCCTTACTCCTCCTCCTCCTCCTCCTCCTCCTCCTCCTCCTCCTCCTCCTACTCATCTTGCTCTGCCTCATTCATCTACATATTCCCCCGCCCCCTCTTCTTCCTGGGGCCTCGTCCTCCCCCTTCTGCCTGCACGTCATCCTCGCCCACCTCGCCTTCCTTCTACATCTCCTCCTCCTCCTCCTCCTCCTCCTCCTCCTCATGATCCCCCCCTCGCATCCTTGTCCTCGTCATCGTCATTGCCTTCGCGCCCCCAACCTCGTTCTCCCCCTCGTCGAGGTCGTCGACATCGCCGCAACGTCCTCGTCCTCGCCGTCGCCCTCGTCGTCGACCTCCGCTGTGGTCGCTGTCCTCCTGGTCCTCCCTCGTCGTCCTCATCGTCGCCGTCGACGGCGCCGTGCACCGATGTCATCGTCGTCGCCCTCTGTTCTCATCCTCGCCCTCGCGCTCATCGTCGCCTTTCCGTCGTCGTCGTCGTCGCCGTCGTCGTCCTCGTCGTCGTCGTCCTCCTCCCTCCACGAGAGGCCCTCTCACCAGCCAGCCTGGCCGTGCCGTGCCGGTCGGGCGTCCTTGATCGCGGCAACGGAGAGGCTGCCTGGGCGGCGCGGGCGCTTCGGCGGATCTGCTCGACATGTGCCGCCTCCCACGAGGCCGTCCAATTCCTCTCCTCCATGAGGCGGAAATGGGCGCCCGAATTATCCGGGGTAACTCGGGCCCGGGGCAACTCGGGCTCGAAATCCCGAAGCACGAATCCGAGCTCGCCCTGACCCAAGTTACCCCTGATGATGTTGGGGCTCTGGACGCCCGAGTGATCCGGGGTAACTCGGGCCTGGGGTAACTCGGGTTCGGATTCCCGAAAAACGAACCCGAGCTGCCCCTGATGATTCGGGGCTCTGACGAAAGTCTCTCCGCCATCATCTCAGGACGCTTCTGAGGACTCGCGGCGAACCTCTTCAGATTTCGCGGTGAGGCGGAAAGGGGGGGAGCAAGGCAACTATTGCGAACGGCTTCTTATCCGGCCTTTCGACATTGGCCAGAGGAGGGGCCGGGGGGAGAGGGGGGGGGGGGGTCTGGCTGCGGACCTCTGCTCAGTGCGACGGTTCGCGACAGTGCGTCCTATGGGGGAGACTCCACCTGCTTGAAACGGGTGCCAAACACCGCCAAGATCTGCGCCATTTGGGGGGGCGGAGGGGGGGGGGGGAAGAGGGCCCGCGCCGATCGGCAAAACGAGGGGTAAGCAAACGAGCACCTCGTCGCAGATGCTTCGTGACGCGGGCCCCCAGGGGATCTCGCCCCCTCCACCACGGGCCGGCCGTGCGTCCCGCATCGCCTCACGTCGACGGCGCCAGGCCGAGGCCGGGCGGAACAACGCCAACTCGGGAGGCCGAGCGCGCGCAGAACGACTGGCCCTCGCCACTTTTGCTGCGTCGCCTGGCTCTTGGGTTAGGCCGGGCATGTCCTCCTACAGGCGGCTTTTGGAAAGAAACACGCAACAGAGTCCAACCAGAGTCAAACATCGACAAGCATATACTCGAAACCTCGTCCCCAGACCCATGGCTGGTATCTGTGCATGCTCCTCCTGTGGAGGGGCATGCCCGACGTGGAATCTGGGGGGGGGGATCGAGGGTCCCGGTCTTCGGGCGGCCTCGGCCCCCTTCTGGGCCTCCCGAGGCTGCCGGAAGAGGCGGTCGCGCGCCCGAGGGCAGGCGGGCCAGAAGGCGGAGGGCGACAGGGGGAGGAGGCAGGCGGGAGGCAAGGGGGGAGGCAGAGGGGGGGAGGCAAAGGGCCAGCAGCGGCGCGTGGGGCAGCGACGGGGCGCGGGGGAGGGGGAGGAGGAGGAGGAGGAGGAGGAGGAGGAGGAGGAGGAGGGGGAGGAGGAGGAGGAGGAGGAGGAGGAGGAGGAGGAGGAGGAGGAGATGGGGGGGGGGAACCGGGAGGGAGAAGGGGGGCTGGGCAGAGAGTGGGAACGCTGCCATAAGGAACCCTAGACCCTAGACCCTGGAGAAGGAACGCGGCGCCCCAGTTCTCCATGAGTTAAACTTCGACTTCCCATCGGAAACCTGAGGAAAGCCAACGACATGTTGTACAGTAGTGGAGGAAAGCTGAGCCCCTCCCCATCGAAATGGATTCCTTCTTCAGCGGCCCGACTGTACTTCAAAGATGTGCCCAGCGCTGCCTTCCGCTGTGACGGGGACGGCGACGGAGGGTGACGACGACGACGACGGCGACGGGGATGACAACGACGAGAACCGACATCGCCAGGAGTCCTCAACAGGACTCCGCGGATGTCTGCGTGAAGCCAGAGGCGCCCAACAAAACCACACCCTCGATCACTCGACCGCGGACCATCGACGAGGAGGACGAGAGCGAGGACGCCTTTGGTGACGAAGGCGACGGCGGCGACGACCACGAGGACGATGGCGGCGACGAACGGCGACGAGGACGACAGATGCCTGGAGGCGAACCAAGCCACCCCCACACTCACCACATCACTTGTCATATGTTCGGAAAGTTCTCTGTAAAGCCTGTGGCCCGACGACCGTCGTCAGCTGCATGTGCCCCAAGAGAGGCCCCTGGCAACTTGCGAAAAATGCAACCGCCGAGAGTCGGGGGGAAACATACTAATGAAGCCCAACACGTGCTTGATCAACAAAAACTGCCGCGCGCGAAATTGCCTGGGAAAAGTGATGAAACCGCGCCAACCCGCACGTGCAACGGCGCAATCTTATAAACGCAGCAACGCGTTATATACATATGGAGAGAGAGAGAGAGAGAGAGAGAGAGAGAGAGAGAGAGATAGAGAGAGAACAAAACAGAAAGAAAGAACGAGAGCTCGCAAAACCTGCTTTATGAGACACGAAGACGGTATTATAGAAATAATTGTAAGACCAGAAAGCCATCCGGAAAACAACAAACAACCATCCTGGTGTGGGGGGGGTCGTTCTCTCGCGAAAGACGGCAGCGGACGACGGACGACGGACGCGCGACGGCAGAGACGGCGACGCCAGCGGTAACGACGACGACCACGACGACGACGGCGACAGAAGCCGTCAGGAGGCACACCCCGACGGCCCGGGCCCCCAGAGGCCAGCATACAAAACAAGAGACGCCGAAGATCCAGACCGTGCCGAGCCTCGACCCACGGCCCCTCGCTCCCCAAAGAACCTCGGCGGCGACGGGGAGCGAGAGTGACGCCGGCGGCGATGACGACGGGCCGCGACGAGGGATGACGGTCGCGGCGTGCGACGGACGACGGCGACGGACGAAGGACGAAGGACGACGGACGACGGACGACGGACGACGGACGACGGACGACGGACGACGACGACGACGACGACGATGACGACGACGATAACGACGGCGTCGACGGCGGCGACGGGCGACGGCGACGGGGCGCGCCCAGCGCAGGCGCGGGCCGCTCCCCCGGCGGCGCCCCGCCGCCGCCGCCCGCTGCGGGGGACGCGGCGGGCGCCTGCGTGGCGGCGCGGTCCTCGCCGCCGCCGCCGCCGCCGTCGTCGTCGTCGTCGTCGTCGTCGTCGTCGTCGTCGTCGTCGTCGTCGTCGTCGTCGTCGGCGCAGCCGTCGCCGTCGCTGACGCCGCCACCGCCGCGGTCGCCCTCGCCCTCGCCGTCGCCCGTCGCCGTCGCCGCCGCCGCCGTTGACGTCGTCTTCGTCGTCGTCGTCTTCGTCGTCGTCGTCGCCGTCGTGGATGAGGTCGTCGCCGATATCGCCGTCGTGGTCGCTTTCGTGGCCGCCGAGGGGGGCAAAGAAAGGGGACGAGGACGAGCAGGACGAACAGAACGTGGAAGAGGGGGAGAAAAGACCATCAGGACGACGCCCAGGTTACGACGACGAAAAAGAAGCGGACACCGAGGGCGAATCACGATGGGGACGATGAGCAGCGTTTAACCGATCCCTGTCCCCACGGGCGTGGCCTGGGCCCCACTGGCCGATTTATCCCCCCTAGATGGGGATATAGGCTGTCCCCTTCGAGTATCGAGGGGCACATCACCAACTGGAGTGGTGGCATGGTGGGGATCGGGATGGGGACGGAGCTGGGGATGGGCATCGTTGAAACGAAGCTGAGACGACGACGTGGACGCGACGAAACAAACAGTCCACGTTTGCTTTCAAACAGTCCCTGGACCCTTCCCAGGGCCAGCCGCTGAAACGAGGAGAAAGGAGGGAACCGTTGCGGGCAGCGGGCGGACTGGAGGCACCCGCCCGGACCATGTCCTCGTCCAACCCCCTCCCGCCCCTCCCGCTGACTCTCATTCTCCCTCCTCCTCCTCCTCCTCCTCCTCCTCCACCTCCAACTCCTCCTCCTCCTCCTCCTCCTCCTCCTCCTCCTCCTCCTCCTCCTCCTCCTCCTCCTCCTCCTCCTCCTCCTCGTCCTCCTATACATCCTCCCCCTCCTCCTCCCTCCCCCTCCTCCTCCTCCTCCACCTCCTCCTCCTCCTCTTCCTGTGTGTGTTCCTGGGTTCCTGTGTTCCGTAGCCATTTTGGCTCAAGATGTTTGTCTGGGAGGCTGTCAGCCTCCAGGCAGAAGGGATACCGCTAATCCGCGGCCAGTTCTCTGCACTCTCGGCCTGTTCGCCCAGGTCTGGAGTCGAGTACCAGCGTACTCGACCGCGTTTTGTGAGCTCCTGTCGGAGCAGTGGGAGGAGTGCAGGATCTTGCTTCAGTGTACGATGGGGAGCTGGGGTCGTTCCCGTGGGCAGAAGTACACGGTGTGCAGCAAGTGTCAGAATTGGGTCTACGACTGGCGGCTTCGCAAGCAAGGCGGCTGCTGCGGGAAGTGCGGGACGCAGCTACAGACGCAGCTGGAGGAGTGTCCAGGGCGCAGTGACGGCCGCGACGTCCAGCGCCCCGACGCCATGGCGGCTCCGGACGAGTTGCTTACGAAGCTGTGCGAGCGCTTCCCCGCGAACTCGCAGATCATCCTGGCCATGCAGGCGGAGTTGGCCAAGCCGCCCGAGCCGCCTCCGAAGCCCGCTGTGGTGCTGGCGCCGGCTGACCGCTACAAGCAGGCCACGGAGGAGCAGACCAAGGCCAAGAAGGCCGTCGAAAAGCAGATCGAGAAGGTGGTGGCGATGCAGGCCAAGCTCAGCCGCATGGAGGAGAAGCTCGAGGAGCTCAGCGCGGCGCATCTGTCGGCCAACATGGAGGTTGAGCTGGCAGCCGAGACCGTCGCGCAGACCACCAAGGCGCCTGCAGAGGCCGCTGCGCCTGCGCCGCCCCAGCCCATGGTGTTCGCGATCGACTCCGAGCTGTTCGAGTACCTGGAGGAGGCCGACGAGGAGTTCCGTACTGGGTTCACGGAGCTTCAGGGAGCTACGGACCAGTGGCACAAGCAGCAGGACGAGGCCTACAAGCAGATCGAGGCGGACAGGCTGGCGCGCGAGCAAGCCAGGCTGGCGCAGGAGCAGGCTTTCGCGGCCTCGCAGGCGACGGTGTGCGACATCCATGGGGCCAAGGTGGCGGCTCTCAAAGAGAAGGGGGCGGCCCTCCTCCGGCTGGCGCGGACCCGCTCCTTCAAGAAGCGGCGCGCGGGGGAAGGAGCGGCCGTCGATGGCGCCCCTGCCGAGGAACGAGCTCCTGCTGCCGCTGCGGGCGCCGAAAAGGGCAAGGAGGAGCCAAGGCCTGGCCCCGGGACCGCTGCGCCAGGCGGAGGGGCTGCCGGGCCATCTGCCGACCGGCTGGCCCAGCACAAGCGTGAACTCGCCGTGGCGAAGGACAAGGCTGCGCTTGCCTATGCCGAGAAGCAGGGGCAGAACGGCGTCACGAAGGGGGCTGCGAGCACTCCAGCGGCGCCTGCTGCTGCTGCTGGCGGCGATGCTGGCGCTGGGAGGCGGCGCGGGTAATCACCCCTGCGGGGCCATGGGCTCCGTGCCAGCACAGGAGCAGGAGTTCGCCGTGGACTCTTGCCCAGCAGATGCGTCAGCAGGAGGGGAGGCGGCGGCGGTGCCGTCTCCTGGACGTTGTGAGGGGCCGCGCGGGCCGAGCAGGCAGTCTGCCTTGGGGCCCAAAGTGTTTTTCGGCAACGTCGAGCGCTGGGGCCCGCAGGCGCAGCGCTACATGGTTGAGCATGCGACGGAGTATGCGGTGGTGGGCTGCGCGGAGACGCACCTCTCGGACGCGAAGCACGTGGAGGCTGTTCGGAGTCTCGCGAAGGACGGCTGGAAGGCCTCAGGCGCCCCTGCTTGGGCCTCGGTCCGGTCAGAGACGGGGACCAGGGGTGGCGAGCTGGTGGCGTCGCGGGTCGACATCGCAGCCACGACCTTCTCGCACCTCCGAGGCGCGACGAGTGGTGGTGGCGACGACCCGCTGCTGGGCTTCGCGCCGCTGGTCCTCCACATGAAGCAGGGGAACTTGGTGGTGGTGATGTCCTACATGTTCCCTGGGCTCGGCGTGCGTGGGGCGAACCGCTGCAGGTTTGCGGCACTGGGGGCCTTCTTGATGGGGCTGGCGGACCCGTGGGTGGTGCTCGCCGACTGGAATCTTTCGCCCAAGGAGATGGCGGAGACGTCCTTTCCCGGCAAGGTCGGGGGAGAGCTCCTGCTCCCGCAGGGCACGGAGGCCACCTGCTTCAAGGGCAGCGGCAGCCTCATCGACTTCGGCTTGGTCTCCGAGGGGCTTTCGACCCAGGTTGAGCTGACCGCGGTCCTGGACGTGCCGTGGCGGGTCCACTGCGGGCTCAGCCTGCAGATCAAGCGAGGAGCGCGGCAGTGGCGCCGACGGCAGCTGGCGATTCCGCTGCCCCTCCCTTCGCCGCCGAGGCCAACGCGTGCGGCGGACCCCGACAGCAAGTCGTCGAAGCGCAAGGCCGCGAGCCTGGCGCGGAGGCGTGACAGGCTGTCTGGTGGCCTGCAGGAGGCGTTCGTGGACCTGCAGCTGGCTGCGGAGGTGGAGCAGCTGAACCGCCTCGAAGAGGAGGCGGCCGCCGCGGCAGCGCCGGCCTTGGAGACGCTGGTGGACTACGACGACGAGGGCCCTGGAGAGCAGTTCTTCGGGGAGGGGGAGATGTCCGGCGCTGGTGCGGTGACGTTAACCCGGCCGGAGGCGCGGCAGGTGGACTTGCATGGTGAACGGGGTCGCGACGAGGCCGCTGCTGGACGTGGTGAGGGAGCTGACCACTCTTCCTCTCGCTCGGCGGGAGGGTCGGCGGTATCGTCGTCGGCAGCGGGAGGGCCATCTGGCGGGGGCCCCACGATGACCCTCGACGCTCCTCGGCCTGAGGGGCAGCAGGACGACGGGGCGGTGGTCATCGAGCTGGCTTCGCGACACGATGCCAAGAGTGCGGAGGTCGAGCCGGTGTTCTTCGTCTCAGCCGAGGCCTGGGCTGCAGCAGCCCCTTCGGAGTTTGAAGTTGGCAGGTACAGCTCCACGGCGATGGGTGAGCTCGAGTCGCACCGCCTTGTGCAGCAGGCGGGTCAGGGTGACGTTGCGGTCAGCCGCATGTACGCGGAATGGGTCTCCAAGCTGGAAGTGGTTCTGCTGGGCGCCAACGGGTGCCACGATGCGGCGGCGAGGCGGCCGTACTGTGGGCGGGCCAACGGCTACGACTTCAGGAGCGCCAGGCTGCGGGCTGCGCCTGGGCGCGCCCACCTCAAGCACCAGGCGTCGGAGCACTGGAGCGTCATCCTTGCGCTCCTGCGGCAGTTGGCGCTGCTGCGCGGCAGCGGCAAGGCGGAGGAGCAGCGGCAGCGCTGTTTCACCTTGCTATTGCGTGAGGTGGATCGCATCATGTTGGATTGCGCCGAGCATTTCAACCGCGGGGTCAACGCGGAGGTGCACGAGGCCTGGGCCCTGATGATGAGGGGTGCGGACGTGATTCCCTTGAGCGAGCTGGAGGTGATGGTGGGAGTCACCGAGCGCTTCTTCTCCGCCAGCCAGGCCCGCTCGCTGGCGAAGAGCCGCCGCGATTTCGGGGCTTGGGCTCGAACGGTGTGGAAGCAGAGCCCAGGTGTCCTCCATCGGCACGTTCGCGACCCTGGCCCTGAGACGTCGGAGCTGGTGGTGGGCGGCCGCACCATCGCAGAGCCTGGTCAGGTCATGTCGAGGAAGGCGCAGCGCTGGGGCGGCCTCTGGCGCGCTCCAGTCGACTCCTGGGACGATCTGATGGCAGCCCTTCAGGCCACTCTCCGCCGCGCCCGGGAGGATCCACTTCCCGAGCTGGACCTCGAGTGCTTGGATGGCGGAGTGCGTGCGCAGGGGCCCAAGAAGGCCCGAGGGGTCGATGGCCTCGGGTCGAACGACCTGGCGCGGCTGCCCCCTGAGGGACGCGAGGAGCTGCGTCAGCTGCTGGTGGAGTGCGAGCGGCGCGGCTGCTGGCCCAGGCAGCTCCTGGGCGTCATCGGCGCTACGCTGCCTAAGAGTGCGGGCGGGGAGCGCATCATCGGCATGCTGCCGCTGCCGCCGAAAGTGTGGTCGCGGGCGAGGTCGTCCGTCACGTCATCCTGGACGGAAGACTTGGGCGCCTTCTGGGACTCGGCCATCCGGGGCTCCAGCGCCCTGCGCGCGGCGCTGCTGCGTGCGGTCATGGACGAGACGGGCATGGAGCTGGGGGTGGCGGCCTCCACCCTGTACATGGACGTGGAGACGTTCTACGACCTGGTGTCGCTGGTCAAGCTGATGGCCATCGCGGAGAGGTTCGAGTACCCTGCGGTGGTGGTCGGCCTGGAGGTGCAGCTGTTCCTTGCGCCTCGCTTCTTGCGGGACCGTCATCATGGGGTCTCCATGGCGGTCGAGGCGACTCGTTCGGTGGTAGCGGGTTCCAGTCACGGCGTGTCGCTGGGGAAGCTGTATCTCCACCCGCTCCTGCTGAGGGCGCACGTGCAGTGCCCGCGAGCGGGGCTGTGGAGCTTCATCGATGACACCGTGGCTCGCGTGGAGGGCTCCCGTGCAGCAGTGCGGGACGAGCTGCCGCGGATCGCGGGGGTCCTGAAGCAGGGCCTGGATGAGCAGGAGCTGATCTGTTCGGGCAAGACGAAGCTGGTGGCGACGGACGCGGAGCTGGCCGGCGAGGTGTCGAGGACCTTGGAGCAGCTGGGCGTGCCGTTCCAGGTGGTGCAATCGGCGGTCGACCTCGGCATCGACGCGGCGGCGGGCAGGCGGCGAGTGTGCCGGAAGGCGTCGACGAGGCTGCGAGGCGGAGCGCGGCGCTTCCAGCGTATCATGCGCCTGCGCCGGGCGACGGCGCTGACCAAGGAGTGCCGCGGCCTCTGGTCGACAGGAGCCCTCCCTCAGGCCGCCTATGGGCACCAAATTTTCGGGCTGGCCCCGAGCCGCGTCCTGGCGTTGCGGCGGCAGGCCGCCCAGGCGGTGGGCGGTTCCGCCAAAGGGAGATGTTTGACCTCGGTCCTGGCGGCGACGATGGGGCTCATGGACCCGCACGTGGTGCTGCGCAAGCAGGTCGTGGAGTCGTGGTGTGGCCTCTGGTTCTCAGCGCCCCAGCTCCACGGGCGCATTCGGAGGGCGTGGCCGCACGTGCGGAGCGCCCTTTGCGGGCTGGGGCTCGCCGATGGCAGAGGGTCCGGGGGCCGCTCGGCGCGCTGCAAGCCACCTTGATGGACCTCGGCTGGTCGCCCATCTCTGCCACACGGTGGATCCGGCCCACGCCCGAGGGCCAGGACGAGTGGTTCTTGCCCAGTGCTGACGACCCCGAGTTTCAGGCTTGCGCGGAGTTCCAAGCCGTGCTGGACGACGTGGAGGCAGATCTTCGGGCACAGCTGTGGAGGCAGGCCTCGGTGCACGAGGCGGGGGAGGATTTGCTGGAGGGCGCGGACTTCTGGCAGATCGCGTGCGAGATGCGGCGCATGGAGGCCCAGGGCTTGCTGTCGGAGTGGGGGCTCAACCTCTCGGTGGTCGCTGGCGGGCAGTGGCCCAGGGCCCGCAGGACGGAGGCGGGCTATGTGCTGCCTGACGAGATCTGCAAGCGATGCGGGCGGTGCCGCGAGACCCTGGTACACAGGGTCTGGCTGTGCTCGGCCAACGTGGGTGATGAGTCCTTCGAGAAGTCGGACTGGCTCCTCCCGCGGGCGCTCGCGGAGATCGAGGCGCAGCCCGCCCTGTGGCTGCGGGGCGTCGCGCCGGCAGTGCTCACCACGCCGCGCTACGACGAGGAGTTGGCGCAGGGGGCTGCGGCCAGTTTCGGCGGCGACCTCGACGAGCTGCGAGACGTCCTTGGCTTCCTCACTGTCTTCGGCGACGGCTCGGGCGGCATTTTCTCCTCAGATCCGCGCCGACGCCGATGCGGGACGGCCATCGTGATCATGCAGCGGGGCCCCGAGGGCGTCTGGGTTCCAGCTTGGGGCCGAGCGCTTCCGCTGGCAGGTCGTCGCCAGACGGTGCCCCGAGCGGAGATCTTCGCCTTCGTGCTGGCGCTCGAGGAGACCACGGGCAACGTGCGGTTCGTCACGGACCACCAGCCGTTGTTCCGCGCGTGGCACGGGAGGCTGGAGGGCGCTGGTCAGGCGGGGCTCGCGAATGAGGACCTGTGGCAGAGGGCGCGGGCCGCCTTCGCGGCGCGAGGTCCTGGTGAGGTGCAGGTGGAGTGGGTGGCGTCGCACACGGAGGAGCACGTCCACCTGCTCACTTCCGAGCGCGACTTCTTCCTGGCGCTGGGCAATGCCTCGGCGGACGTGCTGGCAGGCGCCGCCGCGGAGGGTGGCCGGCGTGCGGGGCTCATCGGCACCGCGCCGCGCACCGATGAGATCGACGCGATCGCGTCGCTGGTGCGCCGCCGGGCGAGGAAGGCGCTGGAGTTGGCGAGCGCAGCGGACGGGGAGCAGGGCAAGCGGCCGGCGGGCCCTCGGCGTCCAGCCCGCACTCCAGCCCGCCTCGGTGTCCAGCGGTCCGATCATGAGTTGCGACGTTGTGGTGAGCGTTGGACGTGCGTGCGCTGCCACCGCATGGTACGCTCGCACCAGCTGTTGCATTTCTGTGGCACGGAGTGCCGAGGGCCGATTCCAACAGGGAGTCTGGCGCAGGCTCTGGACGGAGGTCGTATTGCGCCGTGTCTTGCCGCCGAGGGCGGGGTAGCTGAGCAGCTTGACGGATCTCACCGGCTCGCGTTCTGGCCTGAATTCGCAGTGATTTTTTGCCACCAGTGTGGACGTTACACCACAGGCAGCGACCCCAGGCACATGGTCCGCGTGTGCCCGGGACGGCCGACCAGGAAGGGCGTGGAAAATCTCTCCCGCATTCGGCGAGGTCTTTTCCCCCGCCGTGAGGGGGCGCCGAAGGCGATCCTTCGTGCGCGAGAGTTGCGACTGAGCGAGGCCGTCAGTCGCCTCCCGATTTTTTCAGCCTAGCGTGATGTGGCTGATGTGGGACGGTCCGCGAGGAGAGTAGTATTCATCCCAGTCCCCGGGAGGGTGCCGCACCTATAGGGCGGGGCGGGGCCATGTCGCATTCGGGGCGTCAGCTCCGAGTGCGGGGTGGTTGCGCCTTGCCTTGGGAGCGTTTCCCGAATGGGCCTCTGGGTAAACAAAACAGTCCAAAAACAGTCCTCCTCTTCCTGTACATCCTCCTCCTCCTCCTGACTCCTCTTCTTCCTTTACATCCTCCTCCTTCTCCTCCTCCTTCTCCTCCTCCCTTACATCCTCCTCCTCCTCCTCCTGCTCCTCCTCCTCCTCCTCCTCCTCCTCCCTCTTGTCTGTGTCCAGCTTTGCGGGTCGCGTCCTGCCGTGGCGACGAAAATCCGGAAGCGCAGCACAAACCTCGAAGGCGAGGGCGAGACGGCTGACGATGCAGGCGCCAGCGGCCAGTGGCGGCGGCGGTCACGGCGACGGCGGCGACGGCCACGGCGGCAGCGGCGGCAGCCAGTGGCGGCGGCGAAGGGGCCGACGGCGGCGGCAGCGGCGAGCGACGGCAGCGGCGGCCGACGGCGCAAGCGGCAGCCGACCCCAGGCGCACGACCGCAGGAAGGGTGCGGCCGCCGGCGCGCCTGGGCCGAGGCCGCCGCGGAGGCGAGCGCGGCAACCAGATCGGCCTTCTCCACGCAGCCTGTGCCGCGGAGCTCGGCGGTGGGCGGGGTTGCGGACAAAACGGCGACGACGTGGCATCGACGGCGGCGAAATCGGCGACGCCGGCGGCGACGGCGGCGGCGGCAACGGCGCTGACGACAGCGGCAACGGCGCCAGCGGCGACGCCAGCGGCGACGGCGGAGGCGACGACGACGGCGATTCCGGCGACGACGCCGGCGGTCGGCACGGGTTTGACGACAGCGGCGACGGCGGCGGCGACGACGGCGATGCCGCCGACGACGACGGCGGCGGCGGCGGCCACGGCGTGGACGACGGCGGCGACAGCGGCGAAAGCAACAGTGACGACGACGTCGGCGACGGGGGCGAAGAGACCGACGGCGACAACGGCGGCAACGGAGGCGGACTCCTACGACGAAGGGGGGCAAGGGGGGCGACGAACAAAATGAGAAGAAGAAAAAAAAGGGGGGAAAGGGAGATTGCGGGAGGGGGAGGCGAATGACGGGGACGAGCAGGAGGCGGAGCAGGGTGAGAAGGGGACCGAGGGGGAACAATGTAAAGGGAAAGGTTTCTGGGGGAGGTGGGAGTAGACGAGGAACGCGAGGAGAAGAAAGAGGAAGCCTTGCTCCTCTCCCTCTTCGCCCGCCTCTTGTCCATCACCATGTTCTGGAACCTGCAGTCGCTCGGGCAGCCGACAAGGCGCGTGGGCTTGGCGGGGCTGATGCGCGTGCGGCGGATTTTCGCCCACGGGGCAGCCCACGTTCTCAGCGTCGGCCAAAGCTTCGCGATGGGTCCTTGGCAAGGTGGGCGGGAAGTCGACGGTGTTGAGCTTTACGAGCTTTTCGAATTGAGCACCTTGGCGGACCACTTCAGGCGATTATTCAGCGGTCGGGGCGCCCGTGGCGTCGTATTGAAGGTTATCCAATATTGTCTGGTTTGGAAGGCCCTGTGTGGCTGCGCAGCGCGAGGACCAGCAAACAAGCCACGGTCATTAAGAGTCAAACGCGCTCGGTTTGCAGGTCCATTGGCATTGGTCGCGATGGAAAAGAAGTCGACTTGAGAAGCGATGGGCCAGCCCGTGAGGGGGCTCTTGAGCGAGGCAGACTTGAATTCAGGACTGGCGCCACCGCGGCCGGAACGTGCCCTACTGGGGGGCGCGTTTCCATGTGCTGCAGAGTCGATGTTGACTGAAGGATGCATGGCTTCAGCAGATACCAGAGTGCGTTTGATGGCGGAAACAGGTTCGGAGACGTCCTTGTTGAGTGCGCCTGCAATGTCAGCACGTCGCTTAACCTCAGCACTGTCGCATACGCGCTGTTCTTGTCGGCCAGCGAGCTCGGCGGTGGCCTGGAGGCGAGAAGCTGGGCCTGGGCGTCAGGTGTGACGTGTTTGGCTGTCTTCTCGAAGGCTGCTGCGACGGCATCACCTTGACTGTGCAATGGGTCTTGCAGTTCTCTGCGATTGTGGGCAAGGATGGACCTAGCAACAGAGTTGGCAACGCATTCAGACCCAGACCATGGGCCGAACACGTGATAACGTTTTGGTCCAGTACGCGCCGCTTGTCCTTCAAACCTGTGCTGCTCTTTGGAACAGATCTCCCGTGATAGCTCGGCTGAATACACTGATGCCTCGGGAGGAAGCGCGTCAACATGGACGCCGAGAAAGGGGAAGCTCCTAACCGTGACGCGGAGCAGCGATATCCATGGAAAGCCAGCGGGCGTTGTGTCCGCACATATGAGCCAATAAGGGCACGGAGGAGGGGTAGGGGGAGGAGGAGGATGAGGAGCAGGAGCAGGAGGACGTGGATGAAGGGCATGGCATGAAGTGACGCAGCCTTTTGCGGGGGGCGGGGGGGGTATGATCGGGGGGGGGGAGAGGGACGACTCCAGGGGCGGGGGGGCGGGGGCGGGACTCCGAAAAAAACGATGGGGCCGAACACTAGGGACACAAGGAGCCCCTGGAGGCCGCTGGACGATGCCCACAAAGGCCCCCGAATGAGGCCCCTGAAGGGGCCAAGATACGCTCACAGTTTACGTCTCTCCCCGCCACTTCTTTCTCTCTCTCGCTCTCTCGAGCATTTAGTGAGAGGCAAGGACAGCGACAGAAAAGGCAGAGAGAGAGAGATGGACAGAGAGAGTGCAAGCGGAGGAAGACGAGCGAGAGAGATAGGAATACGAAAACACACAGACACACACACACAAACACACACACACACACACACGCAAACAACAATGACGCTACACGAGGGACGAGCGGGGTGCCATGCCAATGCGGACTGGCCCAATCCTCCAACGGATTGTTGTGTTGAGTCCCAAACGCCTATCTATCCCCAATTTCGTCCTACAGGGACCCGTTCACAGAACCTGGGCCATCAACAACAACGTACTGGGACGATCACCTGCTCCTGGAACAGAAGGGGCCGAGACCTCAGAGGCCAGAAGGTTCATCCATATATATATATATAAATATATATAAATAGATGTATGTATGTATACATATATATATAGATCTATATATACATACATACATATATATATACCAATATATATATATATATACACATCAATCCCTTGAAGGTCCTGGGGCGCGCTCCTCTGGTAGTCAGGTGCTGCTGCGGACGGCCATCTCGCAGATCGGCGTGCTCGAGCAGCCTCCCTGCGCACGGGGCGGCAGCCGCGACTTGAAATAGGGCAGCCCAGCCAGTGCAGAGATGCCGCGTATCGACGAGGGGCGGGTACCCCAAACTGATGCCGCTGCACGTATGGGTACTGTTCGCACGGCCGATGGACGCGACAACTCGCAAGCAAAAAGTTCGCGTGCCCAGCAGGAAGCACGACTTGAGCTTCAATGATGAAGCGAAAAGGAACCCCGCAAAACCGCGGGATCGGCACACACACACACACATACACACACGCAGGCATCACTGCTGAGCAGCGACAACTTTTGACATCGCTCCGCGTGTGTTTCTATCAAAAAACCTACGTCTGAAATGGGGTCACTGTGTAACGCCTTGCAGAAAGTATGGGATGCTGCCCCAGTTGCCCATTATCTCTGGCTGCCATGGCTCTGACCAGTCGACAAGCTTATGATAATACAATATGAGCCACGGCCCTGCGCTCGCCAACACCACGTTCAGCACGAGGGCCACTTCACGACTGATGATATTGCGGTGCACGAGGGTCCCCAAGAACACAAGAACAGAGATGGTCAGTGAACAAAAGGCAGGCTTCGTGAGTCCCGTGCGGAGGTGGTCGTTCACCCCTTCTATGTTCTCCAGGGACCAGCCCCAGAAGCCCGTTGGCCCTCGCCACGTGTAGACTGCCATGTACATATTGTCAAAGACTGCGCCAGCAAAATTCAAGGCCGAGTACACAATGGTGAGCGTGTCGGGCTCGATACCGCTGACGCGCTGTCGCGCTGCAGCCTGCATGCCAGGCACTGGCAGAGCTCCGTCAGGGAGCAGCGCTACGACGTTGTCCGACGCCTCGAACAGTTTCTTGGCGCTGTAGAACCAGAACGGCATCACGAACCAGTACAGCCACTCGTACTGCAGCGACCAGGCGATCACGAGGATCCCCTGGAAGGAGAGGATGAAAGAATAGGCAAGCTTGAACAGCATCCTGTGGACCTCCTGGCCCCTGAAATACTTGAGCAGTGGCCACATCGTGACGTTGTTGACCATGTACACAACGAACGTCAGGACCGCCCACTCTGCGCCAGGTGCCTCGCGGAAGCAACGCTCTTGCACGATCGCCCACAGCACGACCAGAATCTGCAGTGCCCCAGTGATGGTGTGCATGTGGCCTTGGGGAAACTAAAAGGCACCGATACCGATACTCCCCGGACCTCTCCCTGGGTACTTTCTGATAAAGGATTTCGAGGCGAATCCACCAGTGGCGACGAGGGCCTCCCAGGAAGGCGAAACACAAAGGAAAACGGGGGAAGGGTAGCCGTATGGGTAACTTTTCCTCCCCTGAGGCCTGCCATGGAGCTCGACTTCCGCTTCAGCGTGAACATGACAACGAGGCAGTAGCACGACAGCGCCACGAGCATCCCCATGAAGCCGTCCTCGAGGATGCCGCCGATGCCCGGGGCGTGGTTGTCCACGAGCCCGCTGGCCGCAGCCTGCCACCAGGAGAGCCAGCCTTGCAGCAGCGGGGAGCCGGGCATCTGCGAGGCCGCCAGGCCAATGAGGCCCAGGCCTGGAGACGGATGGGGGCAGAACATACAGCAGGCACACACGAAACGAAATTCTGCTTTCAAGGATCTGGGAGCATACGGATCGTCCGCATCTGACTCCTACGGCAGATTGAGCCCTCCTGAAATGTGTATTGGAAAGGCATGCCCCAAGACTCCTGCTGTGAGACACCAGCAGAGCCTCTGGGGCCCGACGCACTTCCGCGGGGCACCTGCTGCCAGCCATTTTATGGCTCGCCGTGCCCGCTTTGCCGATGCCGGTCCTAGATGTCGGATGCGAGCGAGGGGGGGGGGAAGTGAGAGGGGGCGGGCCTTCTCAGAAAGCTCGGAAGTCCCCTGGCTTTCCCCGAAGACACACAAAACCTCTCAGAAGGCCGGAGGGCTTCTGAGAAGTCCCGCCGCCTTCTGAAAAGGCCTTCTCCTTCCCACTTCCCCCCCTCGCCCGCCGCCGAAGATGATCTTAAAAACGCGGGGGGGGGCGTCTTTGTTGCTCGCTGTCGGACTCGACGTGTTCTGTTGTTCGTTCTGGGCGCGGTGCTCGTGACGTGTCCAGGTCCAGGCTCGGCGCGCGGCCCACCTGCGCGTGTTCTTTTCCTAGGGGGCAAACAGACCTACCTCGCTTTTGACCACCCTCGCTTCCAAGAGATACCAAGCGATGCCAAACTACGGCCTGTACTGGTCAGGCCGCTTGACAAGGAGGCGCGTGGTATGACTTGGCAAAGGTGGGTAATTCACGCTCTGATTTCCGTTTCCGGGGCGCCCTGCAAAATATGCACGCTTCCGGGTGCCACACTGCCGCCTGCCTGGTATCCGCACTCCCAGACCCCCTCGCGCTGTGAACAAAAACACAACGGCATTTTTTTCGCTATTTTCGGCCTGTGGGGGCCCTTACCGGGCCTCGGGACCGCGCCAAAACGATTCAGGATGAGAAACCGGTCCCGGGGAGTGGGTTGGCACTCCTGGGGGTCGAGGCCATGAAAGAATCATGACCTCGGGGTTCTGGGTTCCAGGGTGTCGGTTTTAAAATGTGGTCGAGTCAGGAGCAAACTCTTTCAGCCAGCGGGCGCCAGGTGGCCCAAGACACTCCGACGCCGGTCGTATAGCAGGCGGTGGGGTGCCATGGGGTCGGAGCGCGAGGGGGAAGAGGCAGGAATCCGCTCAGACCATGAGAGCTGGCGCGGGGAGTCACGACCGAACGGTGGAGCACTGAATCGAAAAAAACGCCCCTCCTCCGGCTCCTCCGCCTCCTCCTGCTCCTCCGGCTCCTGCGGCTCCTCCGGCTCCTCCGCCGCCTCCTCCTCCGCCGCCTCCTCCTCCGCCTCCTCCGCCTCCTCCGCCTCCTCCGCCTCCTCCTCCTCCTCCTGCCAAAGCCCCCCCCCCCCACCCCTGGGGCGCGCTCCGACCACGCTCCCGAGGCGAGCTGGGCCGCAGCGGGTGAGGGCCCGGCGAGAAGCCCCGGGCAGGACATCACAGGCCCACGACAGCCGTGGCCCGGCCTGCTTCCTGCCAGCGGACGTGGTTCTGGGGCAACCATCTTCGCGCTCCGCGCCCCGCGAAGCGAGATGGTCTTGTCGCTGTCGCGTTGTCGAGCCGCCCCCCTTCACTCCGGCATTGGATGAGGGACTCGCGCCTCGCCCTGAAGTCGCCCAGACCGCGAAGCGCGACTGACTTCGCACCCTCGTGGTGGCCCCAGTTACTTCCTGGATGCTTGTTTTTGTTATGTCTGCTGCTGCGATCTTCTCTGTCTCCCTGGGCTTGGCAGCAGGGACCTCGCCTTTCTGTAGCCTGCGCAAGACCATCTTCCCATGCCCATGCTCAGCAGCCCAAAAAACCATCACTCAGTCGACGGCGGCGACGTCGGCATAGGCGTGCGTCTTCCCACAAGGAAGACGATCGATGCCGACGTCGCTCAGCAGAGAGTGTGCGCCGTGCCCTGTCGCCGGCCGATTGCGGAGCACGAGCTAACAATTCGACTCCCCCCGACGCATCGATCCCACGGTGCGTTCATGTTTGTGGACAGGTCCCTGCTTTTGTGGCCTTCCAAGCAGAAGCTGGTCCCAAATACAGCGCCTGGGGGGGTCCGTGGCGCATGTCGGCCTAATCCCAACCGACTGGTCCCAATCCCCATCACCTGCTACCAATCCCAATTCGCGCCAAAAGCAAACTGGTCCGAATCCCAACCAATGGAAGAGAAACCCCCGCTAGGAAACAAGATAACGAGCAGTTCAAGACAAGTGTGTAAAAACCAAATGGCACTTCTATTCACCGCATTCCTTTTTGAAGCCAACATACGTGCCAGAATTGCACTTGGCACCACTTCGGTCTTCGCAGGAGCGCTCTGTAACAGTAGAAGTAGTCGTCGTAGTAAGGGCACACCTGACTTGTGTTTTGGATGGTTTGGGTTTGGGTTTGGGTTGGCGGCCTCCCTATTGGAATTGAGTAGGAAGCCTTCATGTAACAATTCATTCGGGATTCCACTAGGAAGGCCCCCGATGACCTCAATAAGAACGCACAAATAATGCAAACTGATTACTTTAAAGGGAATTCCAATAGCAAGGTCTCTCCTAGGTGCGCTGCGAAATACACGACACCCATATAAAGATTTCATACAGTTACGCCGAAGGCCCAACCATCGCGTCAGCCATAATTTGGCCATTTTGTTTGATGCCTGCAAGATTCCTACTGGGTTCCGATTGAACTCCGGATAATTTCCTCTCATGCTCCTGTTGAGTGGCATCCTGTTGAATTCCCTGGAGGCCTTCCTGTTGGAATTCCTTTGGGCTGTCGAATGGAATCCTATCGAAATCCAACTGAAAAGCCATGGAGGCCTTCCTATTGGAATATCGATTAAATTCCTGTTGGGAAGCATGCCCTGCTACGCCCTGCTAGGATCTGGTAAGCCTTCGTTGGCCCTGGCTAAACCCTGGTAAGCCCTGGTACGCCCTACTGGGCCCTGGTAAACCCTGCTTAGCTTTGCCGCCTATTGGGTTTCAATGGGGCCCCTCTTGGACGCCAAGAAGAATCCTGTTGGAGTCGGATGGGACACCGATTGGAAACCCATGGAAACCTTTCTACTGACATACAGTACAGCTCCTAGCATAAATACCAGGAATCCAAGTTCATGCCACCAGGAGGCCTTTTCAACGGAATCCAATAGGAAACATTTCCAACGGAACCCAATAACAAACCAATGGGGCCAACCGGAACTCTACAGGACATCTCCTGGGAATTGTGTTGGAATCTACTAATTGGCGGCCTCCTGATTGAAATCAAACCGGAATCCTACCCGAATCCAGAAAAAATTACCCTGTGACTTACCCAACCCATTTGTATCAATGGAAACGAGGAGTTGGCCGAAACTTGTATGGACAACCAACTTGATGTGTAAGCTATTTGGGAGGCGTCACTGTGCTGGGCCCCGCCAGCAGGCCTCGAAAGTGGCGACAGTTTCACAGATCGCAGCCCCCCAGGGATGGCGAGGTCTAATTTGAATCTGCGTGTGACATCACTGTGCTGGGCCCCCCAGCAGGCCGCGAAAGTGGCGACAGTTTCACAGATCGCAGCCCCCCAGGGATGGCGAGGTCTAACTTGAATCCGCCGTGGGTACCCACTGTGCTGGGCCCCCCAGCAGGCCTCGAAAGTGGCGACAGTTTCACAGATCGCAGCCCCCCAGGGATGGCGAGGTCCCATTTGAGTCCGCCGTGGGTATCCACTGTGCTGGGCCCCCCAGCTGGCCTCGAAAGTGGCGACAGTTTCACAGATCGCAGCCCCCCAGGGATGGCGAGGTCCCATTTGAGTCCGCCGTGGGTACCCACTGTGCTGGGCCCCCCAGCAGCCCTCGAAAGTGGCGACAGTTTCACAGATCGCAGCCCCCCAGGGATGGCGAGGTCCAATTTGAGTCCGCCGTGTGTACCCACTGTGCTGGGCCCCCCAGCAGGCCTCGAAAGTGGCGACAGTTTCACAGATCGCAGCCCCCCAGGGATGGCGAGGTCCCATTTTGAGTCCGCCGTGGGCCCACTGTGCTGGGCCCCCCAGCAGGCCTCGAAAGTGGCGACAGTTTCACAGATCGCAGCCCCCCAGGGATGGCGAGGTCCCATTTGAGTCCGCCGCGGGTGCAGACTGTGCTGGGATGGCGAGGTCCCATTTGAGTCCGCCGTGGGTACCCACTGTGCTGGGCCCCCCAGCAGCCCTCGAAAGTGGCGACAGTTTCGCAGATCGCAGCCCCCCAGGGATGGCGAGGTCTCATTTGAATCCGCCGCGGGTGCAGACTGTGCTGGGCCCCCCAGCAGGCCTCGAAAGTGGCGACAGTTTCGCAGATCGCAGCCCCCCAGGGATGGCGAGGTCTCATTTGAGTCCGCCGTGCCTGTGCTGGGCCCCCCAGCAGCCCTCGAAAGTGGCGACAGTTTCGCAGATCGCAGCCCCCCAGGGATGGCGAGGTCCATTTGAGTCTGCGGGTGCAGACTGTGCTGGGCCCCCCAGCAGCCCTCGAAAGTGGCGACAGTTTCGCAGATCGCAGCCCCCCAGGGATGGCGAGGTCACATTTGAGTCCGCCGCGGGTGCAGACTGTGCTGGGCCTCCCAGCAGCCCTCGAAAGTGGCGACAGTTTCACAGATCGCAGCCCCCCAGGGATGGCGAGGTCTAATCTGAGTCCCCGTAAGACGTCGCTGTGCTGTGCCCCCCAGCAGCCCTCGAAAGTGGCGACATTTACACAGATCGCATCCCCCCCCCAAGGATGGCGAGGTCTAATCTGAGTCCCCGTAAGACGTCACTCCGCTGGGCCCCCCAGCAGACCTCGAAAGTGGCGACAGTTTCACAAATCGCAGCCCCCCAGGGATGGCGAGGTCACATTTGAGTCCCCGTAG